AAAGCATACAAAGAGAAGTAGAATAATATTGTGCAAAAAATTTAAAATGTTATTTCATACTAATAAATAAGAGAATCTTGATGGTTTGGATACTTTGGAGATCTCTTAAATTATGATTGCATTCTTTAATGTAATCCCAAAATGTGGTGGTTCTCCAATATTTTGGTCTCAAGTTTTTTTTTTTTTTTAACTTTTTACTTTTTTTTGTGATGTTGGAGTTTGAACCCAGAGCCTTATACATGGTACGCAAACAATGTACATCAATAGCCCCTTTAGTGTGTTTATAATCTTAAAAAAATTGAGGCTCCCTAGGAGCTTTTAGAGAACTTTGATTTTTTTTTAATCTGTTAATCTTTGTGATATTGGAAGTTGAAATTGAGAAAATTTGAAGATACTTATTAAAAATTATAAAATTGTCACATGTTAACATCTCTAATCAAGAGAAATAGAAAAGTGAATTAAGAAATGGGAAGGACTAGAATAATAGCTATAATGAAAATTTAAAATATTTTTGTGAGACTATTTTCAAAACAAAAAAATTATGAGATGAGTAGCATGTTTTACATTTTTGCAAATATCTTTTAATATTTGGCTTAAGAGAAGACAGCTGGATTCTCATAACTGCTATTGTGGTGATTCTGTTGTTACATGTTGTTTTGGTTGAAATGTATAGTATGTAGTTGGAAAATGGAGAAACATTTTAATAGCCTTTTCAGATCATTGTAGACATTGTTCTTTGACCTACTTATGCAAATATATATTTAATTCCTTTGACCCAAAGACATGCCTTATTTTTCTGGAAATCAGTATTAATTCAATTTGCCTTTCTTTTTCTGAGGTAGAATCATAGTAATAGTCCCTATAGAGATGCATTCCTGTTTGATTTAGTAGCAGGTTGTTCTCTGTCAAGTCTCCAAAGTCCAGAATGCCCCTGGTAGCCATAGAATGTTCCTTTACCATTCATACAATTGTTAGTTTTCTTTGTTTCTTGTAGTTTCTTGAATTTTTACTTTCCTTCCTTGATGGGGCATTGAGCCTTTATCAAATGTGCAACTTAGCATCCAGCATTGTGACCCCACATGCCCTTTTTAGCTATTCCTCTGTGGCAGAAAGTGTGGGTATGAAACAGTAGAGTCTACATAGTTAAAAAACTTTCCTTGGCTTAGAGCATTTGAGTATGATGTATTAACATTCACTGGCCAGGAGAGTACAGTAGATATAATTTTGTTGAGCCGTTGCCTGTTGCCTAAGAGATTATAGGGTCATTTTCTTTTCTATTTCCACTACAATATATGAGGCCTTTATGCATGAAGTTAGTGTTATTCACTTTACATTCCCCACAAAGCCAAGTATATTAGTTTTGTATATGTTACTTCACTGAAAGCCTTAAGTATAGTATTTGTAACAAATTATTTGTCTTTTTCTAAGTCCATCTATCTTAATAACTGTTTAAATTCTGCAAAGAATGTAGTTGTTTTTCCAAATTATGGCAAACAAAATGATTAAATGTCTTAAGGGAATATAAGCAATTAAATATTTTGATAAAATAAGTCAGAAAAAGGGAAGATAATCATTCTGGCTTTTAAAAACAAATAAACCCATAAAAATGTTCTTGGAATGGATAATGACTGATGATTTACACTTTTTTTTTTTGCAAATGTTTATGTGTTCTGTAAAACACAAGATTTAGTTTGACAAATTCCTAGTACTCTGGGAGGAAGGAAAATTATTTCAGATAAAATGAACTAGCAACTATCAACTTCTTACTTTTTTCATATGACTAGTTTTCATGTGTATAACTTATAAATATGTAGAAAAAAATGTGGCAACATAAACACTAAAATTAGCAGTAGTTTGTTTTCTGTTAGAAGTGAGATATAGAACAAAATAAATTAGAACTTTTTTTCTCAGTATAATTTTATATTGTTTGAACTTTAAAAATAACCTTTTAAATATTCAGTTAAAATCAGAAAATATCCAGTTAAAATCAGAAAGGAAGGAACTAGGGCTCAGTGATAGAACTTGTACTCAATTTGCCGGAGGCCCTGAATTTGAACCCATCTGCTAAGCACCCACTCTACCGTTGAGGTACACCTTTAGTTCCTAAAGATTTTTTAGTTTATTTTCCTATACAACATATTTCCCTTTCTGATTTTTTTTTTCTTTTTGGAGTGATGGGAATTGAATCCATTGATAAGACACACTTTTAACAACTGAACCATCCAACCCACAATTTTGTTTACATTACATTGACTTAAGGCAGATTCTTATTTTTTTCTTTAGGTACTAGGGATTGAACCCAGAGTCACTTAACCACTGAACCATATCCCCAGCCCTTTTAATATTTTATTCTGAGACCAGGTCTCATAAGTTGCTTCAGACCTTGTTAAATTTCTGAGACTGTTTTTGAACTCACACCATCATCCTGCCTCAGCCTCCTGAGCTGCTGGGATTACAGCCTGCACCACAAAGCCAGGCAAAATAGATTTTTATTTTTATTTTTATTGAGGTAGGGAATAAACTCACAGCTTTACACATGCTAGACAAGTACTCTACCACTGAGCTCTTACACCCCCAGCCCATTTTATTTTTTAGTTTGAGGGTCTTGTTAAGTTGCCCAGGCTGGCCTCAAACTTGGCCATTCTCCCGCATCAGCTTCAGAAACAGCTGGGAGTATCACTATGCTTGGTTTATGACAGATTTTTAAAAAGTGGAAGTGTATACCTAATTTTGGAAGCAAGTAATATATTATGTTTAATATACAATATTACTTTTAGAAGTATTAAATTATTCTACATATATTCTAAATAAATGAACTATTAACTACATCTAGACTCCCAAACCTTGAAGTATGAAACTTTTTTTGTGGTTCAGTTACTTTTGAATATTTCATATGGCTCCCTGCTTATAAAGATCTTTAATTAATATAGTTATAAAACATGCCTGTTTTCAACTTCTGAATTTGGGTTTAATTTCTTCAAACTACAGGGAATAATGAAGTGTTGACTCCTATGTGTTCTAAATTTAGGGTGGCTTTTCTGTTTCTGATTTTGTTTTTATCTTGGTAATGAAAGCTATGATCTCTGAAATTATTTTCTCCTATTTTTAGATGACACTATTAAGATATAGATATGCTGAGGTTAATGTTGGTAGTTTGCTAATATCCTTAAAAATTCTTACTTTCCCTTTTCACTTATTTCTCTTATGCGTTAAGTTAAATACATACTTAGAAGAAATCACCTTTTCCCTTATTAATTAGAACCTTTTTTATTCCTCTGTCACATATTCATTTCTTTATTCAGTAAAGTTTATTTAATATTTACTATGAGGCACTAAGGATAAAAGTTATACCTTCATGAAATATATCCTAGTGGGGGAGACAGAAAACACAAATAATTTCAAATATTGCTTTTAAATAAAGGGCAGGGGTTGGGGCTCAGCAGTAGAGCACTTGCCTTGCACATGTGAGGCACTGGGTTTGATCCTCAGCACCACATAAAAATAAACAAAATAAAGGTATTGTGTCCATATACAACTAAATATGTGTGTGTGTATGTATGTGTGTGTATCATATATATATTTTTATTTATGAAAAATAAAAAGAGTCCTAACACACATGTAACTGGGTAAGATTATAGTTGGAGGATGCAGTGTTTGAATACTTATCAAGATATATGAATACTTAAAAGTTATAATTTAAGCTACATCTTGACCCAGCCCAAGTTCCTGCTAGCCTATACCCTCAAGACTCAAGGCTAAAGTAGCTGCTGTCTCTTGGTGTCCAACCTTCTCTCCTAAGTGGTAGCATGGATCTGTTGGATTAGGGCAGGGGTAATCCAGTGATGCCTGGACCCATCTAAAATAATATTTGGACTGATCCTACCAGTTCTTCAGAAATTTGGTTATAGAGTGGTTCACTTCTAGTTCCTGACTTTTCCAGCTCAAAAACTGTATTTCCCAAGAAGAATAAAGAAGAAAAGGTAGAGGGGATGCCGGTATCTTGGAAATATCATTTGTCTAGGCATTAATTTTGGTTGATTTAGGGTGTCCAACTTTGAGTAAAGTTTTATAAACACATGCTCTTTCTAGGATTTCTCATGGCAGAAGCTCTGATGATTTTCTCCTTTCTACACATACTAGGGGACTCTAAGTTCTTTTGTCTCTGGCCTGTGGGGCCTCATTGAGTTTGCACCTCTCTCTTGTAAACAGAACTTTTATAAAATTTCATTACAGGGCTGCAAATGGGAAAAATAAGTGCTTGTTGTATATGGAGCATCTCCTGGTAGAGGCTTCTCTTGCCCAGGTCTAGAGTGAATAAGGTTGAGTATCCCTTATCTGACATGCTTGGAACCAATCAAAAGTGTTTTGGATTTTGAATGTTTTTTTTTTTTTTTTATTCTGGAATATTTGCATATATATCACAAGTCACTTTAGGGATGAGAAACAAGTCTAAACACAAAATCGGTACTTCATATATATCTTACACACATAGCCTGAAGGCAATATCATTCATGATTTTTAATAATTTTGTGCATGAAACAAAATTTTACAATATGAAATTTTGCACTTCTTGCATCATGTTGGTGCTCAAAAAGTTATGGATTTTGCGTGTTTCAGATTTCAGATATTTGAATTGGGATGCTCAACCTTTATTGAATTGGGGATAGAAGTGACCATAAAGTCTTTTACTTTGCTCATTGACTTCTCCTTGACATTGCTGTTCTGAATCTTCTTAGCGTTTTATTCAACTTATTTTAATTTATAAATTTCTTTAATTTGTAAAACTCAACTGGTATCTCTTGGGATATCTGTATCTGAAAAGTAAGCTCCAAATGAAAATGGTCATTTTCCAAAAGTTTTTTTTTTTTTTTTTTTTTTGATAACATTAAGTAGCAATGAAGAGTTTTCATGTTTCCCTAATTCCTCTAAAAGGCAAACGATTCAAACTTGTTGCCGATTTGAACATTGTCTTAAATGTCATTTTATTTCTTTCCTTACAGGTGTGAAAGCTGTGTGGATTTACTGTTTGTGAGAGGAGCTGGAAACTGTCCTGAGTGTGGCACTCCACTTCGGAAGAGCAACTTCAGGGTACAGCTCTTTGAAGATCCCACTGTTGACAAGGAAGTTGAGATCAGAAAAAAAGTGCTAAAGATGTAAGTATTATTGTTAAAATGATTAAGCCAACAAAGAAGACTTTAGCAGTTGTTAAAGATTGGCAAATGAATAACTATAAATTCATCTATGTACTTGCTTTACAAAAATTTATTATATTTTTAGAGAACTGAGTAATGTTATTATTCTAACCTTTGTTAAAGAGCCTCTTGACTGAAAGCTTCACAGTTTATCCATTTGCCATTTATTCCTTAATTAATAACTGTAGAATACCTACTGTATGCAGTGTGTTTTGTGTGTTAGGCAATAGGTACAAAATGATGAATATCTAGCCATGAACCATGTCCTCATGAGGTTTACCATGTAGTTGCATAGTATAACCAAGAGATAGAAAATAAAATAGGCAGAATAATTATGTAATTATAAATTGAGAAAAATACTATAAAGTAGTGATTGAGTACTGATAGCTATCAGTGATAAGTAAGAACTGAGGCGGTAACATTTAAATTGAGGTTTGAAATCTATTAGAGAAACACCTATGTTAGCTATGATTTATTTTGTTATATATGTGTGTTTGTTCTATAATATTGGTTATAATATTTGTATTTTATGGTATTTGAATTTTATTTTATCTGCCTTTTTATAAAGGGGACTTGATTGATTTTGAAGTTAAAATAATTGTTTTAAAGTTTTTTTTTGTTTTGTTTTTTTAAATGTGTGTTAGAGCCTTGGGCATGCTAGGCGTGTACATCACTTAGCTCAGCCCAGTGTTTAAATTCTTATTTTGGTGGTATACTTTTCAACCCAGGTCACCAGTATTTAAGTCACATCTATGTAGGCCTCTAACCAAGTTTCCCTAGCTGTTGCTTTATTACTTACATTGCTTCTAGGAGGTAGTCTCTTAGATTCTGATCTTTTATTGTTAATTCCTTATAGTTTTATAATTCTTTATATATGTTAAAATAGTTGTAGGCTTTTCTGATTTAGCATTTTGTTTTGTATTGGGATGGAACCCAAGGACACCGAGCTACATCCATAGCCCCTTTTATTTTAATTTTGAGACAGTATCTCACTAAGTTGCTTAGGGCCTGGCTGAGTTGCTGTGGCTGGCCTCCAGCTTCTAATCTGAGCTGGGATTACAAGTGGTCACTGTGTTTGGCTGATATAGCATTCTTAACTGTCAAGAAAAAAATAGGAGTCCCTGAATTAAGTTTTCATTTTCTGGAAACTAGTGAATCTATTTGTAACAAGTAAATTATTTCATAATTTCCAGTGATACACCTTGTTTAAGTTCATTTCCCAAACCTATTAACTATTAATTTTTCTTTCCCTGAAGTCTTATGAGGATTTTACATATTATACCTCTCTCTCCTGATTTTGCTTCTTCTCTATAGTCATAAGAATTTTAAGAACAAATTTCTTGAGCTGAGTGTATGGCTCAGAGGGTGAGTACTTGCCTATCATATGTGAGACTCTGGGTTTGATTTCCAGCAAGAGTGCAGGAAGGAGAATAGCATTCTTGGTCTAGTTAAAAACCTAGTGTCCAGAAAACAGTGTTTTACACAGTACACAGTCATTTTCTATATGTCATATATGAATGAGGTTAAGAACAAGCAAACTAGTTCTAAAATATTGAATGCAAATATATGTAACATGTTGATGTTTTCTTGTCTTTAAGATACAATAAAAGAGAAGAAGATTTTCCTAGTCTAAGAGAATATAATGATTTCCTAGAAGAAGTGGAGGAAATTGGTATGTTTTAATTTGAGACCTGAGACCTTGTGCTTTTATCATTTAGATGCTTAGGAGAATGTCTTACCTAAAAGTCTTTTTTTTTTTTTATTTTTAATTTTTTATTGTTGGCTGTTCAAAACATTACATAGTACTTGATATATCATATTTCACAATTTGATTCAAGTGGGTTATGAGCTCCCCTTTTTACCCCATATACAGATTGCAGAATCACATCAGTTACACATCCATTGATTTACATATTGCCATACTAGTGTCTGTTGTATTCTGCTGCCTTTCCTATCCTCTACTATCCCCCCTCCCCTCCCCTCCCCTCCCCTCTTCTCTCTCTGCCCCCTCTACTGACATTCGTTTGTCCCCCTTGTATTATTTTTCCCCTTCCCCTCACTTCCTCTTGTATGTACTTTTGTATAACTCTGAGGGTCTCCTTCCATTTCCATGCATTTTCCCTTCTCTCTCCCTTTCCCTCCCACCTCTCATCCCTGTTTAATGTTAATCTTCTTCTCATGCTCTTCGACCCTACTCTGTTCTTAGCTACTCTCCTTATATCAAAGAAGACATTTGACATTTGTTTTTTAGGGATTGGCTAGCTTCACTTAGCATAATCTGCTCTAATGCCATCCATTTCCCTGTAAATTCTATGATTTTGTCATTTACCTAAAAGTCTTTTAACAGGTTTTGTGATAACTAATTTTACCTAATTGAATCTCTTGTCCACTTAAATTATATTTGTCAAATTGAAGGCATACTTAAATAAAGGATATTCTTTAGTAATTTATCTTAAAAAATTATTAGTAGAGATAGTAATATTCTAGCTGGGAAGGAAGACAATGTCTATATGTATTCTTTGTATGTTAATAATAGTTTAAGCAAAAGGAAATAATGTTATGATTTTTTTGGTAGGATTTTTAGTAATTATCCATGATAACTAAAGTCATATGTTGCTTATCATTATTTATGCTTCTGTTGACACAGTAGTTTGAAAATACTTCAAAGCTGTGGACTGTTGAAGTAGCTTTCTGATATACAGTGTTCTGGAATCAGAGGTTTGAGTAATCTTAGTGTCTTTTCTTGCTGAAAAGATTAGTCAAAAGGATACTTTTGCAAAACAAAACAAAAACAAAACTCTTGTTTCTGTTTTCTTTTTTTACAGTCTTTATAATTTTTTTAAAAATTTATATATGGCAATGGAATGCATTACAATTCTTATTACACATATAGAGCACAATTTTTTATATCTCTGGTTGTATACAAAGTATATTCACATCAATTCGTGTCTTCATACATGTACTTTGGATAATAATGTCCATCACATTCCAACCCTCTCCCTTCCCCTCCAACCCCTCTGCTGTATTTAGAGTTCGTCTGTTCCTCCCATGCTCCCCCTCTCTACCCCTACCCCACTATGAATCAGCCTCCTTATATCAGAGAAAACATTCAGCATTTGGTTATTTGGGATTGACTAACTTCACTTAGCATTATCTTCTCTAACTCCATCCATTTACCTGCAAATGCCATGATTTTATTCTCTTTTATTGCTGAGTAATATTCCATCGTGTATATATGCCACATTTTTTTAATCCATTCATCTACTGAAGGGCATCTAGGTTGGTTCCACAGTTTAGCTATTGTGAATTGTGTTGCTATAAACATTGATGTGGCTGTGTCCCTGTAGTATGCTGTTTTTAAGTCCTTTGGGTATAGACCCAGGACAGGGATAGCTGAGTCAAATGGTGGTTCCATTCTTAATTTTCCAAGAAATCTCCATACTGCTTTCCATATTGGCTGCACCAATTTGCAGTTCCACCAGCAGTATATGAGTGTACCTTTTCCCCCACATGCTTGCCAACACTTATTGTTGTTTGTCTTCATAATAGCTGCCATTCTGACTGGACATGCACAAAACTCAACTCAAAATGGATCAAGGATCTAGGAATAAAACCAGAGACCCTGCATCTAATAGAAGAAAAAGTAGGCCCTAATCTTCATCATGTGGGATTAGGCCCCAACTTCCTTAATAAGACTCCTTTGGCACACGAATTGAAAGCAAGAATCAATAAATGGGATGGACTCAAACTAAAAAGTTTCTTCCCAGCAAAAGAAACAATCTGTGAGGTGAATAGAGAGCCTATATTTTGGAGCAAAGCTTTACCCCTCACACGTCAGATAGAGCACTAATCTCTAAGGTATATAAATAACTCAAAAAACTAAGCACCAAAAAAACAAATAACCCACTGAATAAACGGGCCAAGGATCCGAACAGACACTTCTCAGAAGAGGATATACAATCAATCAACAAATATATGAAAAAATGTTCATCATCGCTAGCAGTTAGAGAAATGCAAATCAAAACTACTCTAAGATTGTTTCTGTTTTCTTAAATGAAATTTTAGAGGTGTTAAAAAGTCTAGAATCTGTATACGTGGAAAAATGAGAATTCATACCCTATTTGAATCAAATGAAAGATATGTCAAGATCATTGTATTGTCTTGAGCAACTAATAAAAAAAAAGTCTAGAAGTTATATTGATTCAAAAATTAATGTTTTTTAAAAAAAGTATTCATAATTATTTTAAAGTGTAGGTTAGGAAATAACACAAAGGTTGTAGTCTATGAAAATTAGAATGAGATTATGAGAGTCAGTTGCTTTTTTTATTATTCACTAAAACTTGATAGTCAAATATAATTACAATCTTTATTATTAAAAATATGATACTAAAATTGGTTATTCTTTTCTTTCTTTTTTTGTTTTATGTGGTACTGCATATTAAACCCAAGTGCTATACCACTGAGCTGCATCCCCAGACTAAAAATTGGTTATTCTTCAGAAGGTTTATGTATTGTAAATTTTTAGAAAATATAAATTTCTAAAGAATGAATATTCTAATTCTTTAAAGTATCCTTTCTGAGAAAATACAGAAAGTCTTTTTGTTTCACTCATTATCAAAACTTTTCTAAAATGTCTAATTTCATTTGTTATGCCAGAACAGAAGCATATATAGAATATGATTTAGGTATCTTTTAGTGCTGTAGAGTCACTGCTTTTTCATTCTAATTATACTCATTTGCATATAATCTTAGCAAGTGTGAGTTACTATGAATTTTAGTTGAGAAGATGGTGGATTTGGGCGTGACAAAGCAAAGTTAGGATATGGACTGAGAAGATATGCCTAACAGAAATTGGAAGAACTGGGCAAGTATGTATAAATCTGGTTATATATAGATAATAAGTATAGGACAAGCAGTTGGATAGCAATCAGGATGAAACCCAGTTTACATATATATTCTACAGGCAATATAATTCGTCAAAAATCTGTTAGGTAACAAGGGGAAATGAGATTATAGATGTTGCAGGGCAAGTTTAATGCATATTTACAATTCTAACCTTCCAGTCATAAACTGATGGACATAGAAGGAACAGATAAGGGATAGGTTCTTGAGCCGTGATTTAAAAAAATACATTTTTGCTATGAGATGAATTAGTTTGGAGGCATGGGTAACCTGGGGCCTTTGGGTGAAAGGAGTTCATGTTTAGAAGTGGGAACTAGGATCAATAGGCAAGAGCAAGTCAGAATGTTTGTGATATGCAATATGTAATACTTTCTTTACCAGAAGGGGGAACTATGGCTTAGAACATTTAATTAGAAAATGATTATGCTATTATGTACAGTTCATGAGGGACTGTCTTCATTTTAAAGTATTTGGAAATTCTTTTAACCAACTTCTGCTTAATTATCTCATTAACTGACATTCCTCTGATCTTCCATAAAATGTACTGACCGATACCCTGAGCATAATGAATACATGGTAAATGCTGCCCATTAGAAGTTGTCCTCAAGTATATCTCTGTATTTCTCTCACCTGTTTAGTTACACATCAAGAGTTATTTGTATTGTTAACCAAACTTCCTTGTGCCAATTGCATTTATTTTTTGCAGTTATGTTAATTAAATAAGTGTATATAAAGTTGGGAAAAAATCACAAAACTATGGGATTTAGCTTCTCTTGTTCTCAGTTCACTTTTTAAAAAAATGGAAACTCAGCAATGTAGAGGAAAGTTATTGTTTACATAAGAAAGAAGGCAAACTCCAATTAATGGCTAGACTTTTGCTGTTTGTCATTAAATTAGAGAATGACTTTATACTTACAATATTGTTAATATGCATTTTAAGTTATTTGGGGAGAGAAAGAGAAAGGTATAGAGATAGATATGGGGGTGAAGGGAGAGGAACAGAGAAGGAAGGAAAGAATGAATGAATATGAATGTGTATATGATTAGTAGACTATGCAAAGAAATCAACTATAAATCCTGATGTTGGTTAAAGACTGGTTCCACTATTATTTGAAGTACTGCTTTTTGGGACCTAGCTTCATGGATTTACTTTATTTTCTGAACTCAGCTCACTTTAGCAAACATTTATTGTTTCATATGAGTTACTTTACTGTTGGAAATACATGTTTCTTCAATAAGTTCAGACTTTAAATGGGAAGGTAATTATGTAAACAAATAACTATAATTTAATGTGACAAATCTTATAGGTATTTATAAAATGCTGTGGGAATAAAGATAAGAAAGCAATTAACCCATCATTAGTAAATAGAGGTATATTTAGTAAAATTCAGAGACATGATAATATTTGAGTTTGATTTAAACGATTAAGAGAAACCTGCAATGACTGTGGGGGAAAGGAAATTGGAGAGGATGGTTAAGGGGTACAGGAGTGCAGTTGAATTGAAGGAATGACTTCTAATGTTCTACTGTACATTAGGATAACAGTGGTAAATAACGATTGTGTAGCTAGTAGAGATGACTTTGAATGTTCCCAACACAAGAAATGATAAATATTTACCGTGATGGATATGCCAGTTTCCTAGATCTGATCATTACACAGTAGTCATACTATATACGTGTATTGAAATATCACACTGTCCTCCATAAATATGTATAATTATTGTGTCATTTGAAAATAAAAAGAACATTAAAAGTAAATAAAAAAAAGGT